GCATACAACAGGTGCTCCGTAAATGTTCATTTTTTAAACGATCCGGGATTCAAATCCACATCTGAGTGACTTAAAGCCACTATGTCAGTGATTCTCAAAGTATGATCCAGGGCTGCCTGCCTGAATAGCCCTGATCCCAAGAATCAGAACTGTAGCCTGGCCAGAAATCTGGGTTCAATGCTGGACTCACAGTGTGACTTGGGTCAGTCCTTCTCCGCCTCTAGGTCTGTTTCCCCACATGTAACAGCAAGGGCCCTCTGGAATTCCAGGAAAGGAATCCAATAAAGTGAGCTCTGGCAAATATTAAAGAATCTTTTCTTGCTGAAAAATTTGCATTTTAGCAGAAGTTCCTTAGGGTCCCCAAAGCTATCAAGACCCAGTGAAAGGAGGCCACCGCTGGGATTTTAGATCCTGTCAATTGCAGAGGCAAAGGAAGTGGGGAGGGAGAGAGGGGAGAGTTCTCAGGTTCCTTAGAGTCCCCCTGGGGTGAGGGGCTGTGTATCCATATGGCCAGCCCTGCTTCAGAGCATCTCTTGGCATTCCAAGTAGGCGACACACAATCTCCAAACCACACTGGATCATCAGTGACATTACTATTTTTCTTCTGTAAATAGATATGCCTCAGGGCTGTGTGTGTGTGTGTGTGCGTGCATGCGTGTGTGTGTGTATGTGTGTGTGTGTGTGTGTGTGCGCGCGCGCGCGCGCGCACGCGCGCACACAGCTCTACAGATGATGGGCTGGGAGAGGGGACTGCTATCAATGTCAAACCCTCAGATACAAAGTACCCTACAGGGATCCAGAACGGCCGGTCTTCATAACAACATTCTCTTTCAGCGAGAGCGCATCTTCTCAGGAGTGTGGGCACCATTAGGGAAATCTGCACTGAAGACAAAAGTGAAGAGTTACAGAATTGCTGAGCTTGGAGCGAACTTGGAGCTCATTTAGTCCCTTGCTCTCAAAAGGTCCGACATCAGCACCACCTGGGAGCTTGTTAGAACTGCAGCGTTGGCTCTAAAGAGAACATGAAGAATCAGAATTTGCATTTAAGCAAGATCCCTGGTATATATACACCACGAAATTATTATCCATTCATCCATCAGTGGACCCTTAGGCTGTTTCTATATCTTGGCTGTTGTGAATAATGCTGCAATGAACATGGGGGTGCAGATATCTCTTCAATCCTGTTTTCATTTCCTTTGGATACATACCCAGAAGTGGACATGCTGGGTCATGTATGGTAGTTTGTTTTTGGGTTTTTTTTTGAGGAACTTCCATACTATTTTCTGTACCAATTTACATTCCCACCAACAGTGTACAAGGGTTTCCTTATCTCCACAGCCAGAAATTGTGGTGTGTATATAATAATGGAGTATTATTCAGCCATGAGAAAGAAAGAAATATTGCCATTTATGACAACATGAGTGAAAGTTGAGGGCATTATGCTAAGTGAAATAAGTCAGACGGAGAAAGACAGGTACTGTATGATCTCACTCATATGTGGAATCTAAAAAAGCCAAAATCATGAAAACCAAATAAAATGGTGGTCATCAGAAGCTGGGGTTGGAGGAACTGGGGAGATGTTGTTTAAGGGAATGAACTTAGAACTAGTAGATAAGTAAGTCCTGGAGATCTAATGCACAGCAGAGTGATCAGAGACAACAATACTGTATTATAAATGTCAAAATTGCTAATGAACTAGATCTTAATTGTTCCCACCACAAAAAAGAAATGATAATTATGCGATGTCCTAGAGGTGTCAGCTAACACCACGGTCGGTGGTCATCATATTGCAATATATAAATGTATCTAATCAACACCTTGTATACGTTAAACTTATATGTCAACTATACCACAACAAAAATAAATTTCTAAACAAACAAACAAATAAACAAGATTCCCTGGATGATTTGAGAACTCTGTCCTGGTCCAACAGCTTCATCTGTATTTGGAGCAAAAGCGAGGATCAGAGAGGGGCATGTGCGCCCGTGTCACACCTCTCATCAGGGACAGAGCTTAGACAAGGAGGCGGGCTTCCTTGCTGCCCGTCTTTCTCATTTCACAGCTACGTTTCAGCACACGCTGCTCCCTCCTCCTGGACTGTCCTTCTCTCTCTCCTCCAAGAAACCTCCACGTGACCTTCAAGATCCAGCATGATGTCACCTCTCTCTCCACGAAGGCTTCTTCAGTGGCCCCGGAGACTCTCCTGGTGGCAGAGCATGAGTGGCTGTGTATTTTTAGTTCTCTCTTTCTCAGTCTACTGTCCCCACACAAGACCTGTGCAGACTTTGGAAAAGAATTCAGCTCTCTCCGTGAGAGGAAGGCATTTGCTACAAAAGATCAATAATGCAGAAGAAATGCTCAGTGTGCCAACTATGACAACCAGAGTCCAGGCAGGAAACCAGAATCCAGCTCAGATGGTTCTTGGGATTCCAATGAAGAGGCTGTTTATAGAGCTGGGGACAGGCTTAAAGAAACAGGCAAAGGATGTTGAGGCCCTAGGAACTAGTATTCGTTGGCTTGAAGAGCAAAGAGAGGAATCAGTTATCCCAGCCCAGCAAGGGCTGGAGCCCATCAGGAGTGACACAGCCACTGCCAGAACTGAGATGCAAACCAGGAGATAGCACGGGACAAGTGCCCTGACTCCTCTCTTCCTGACCTCTGACCTCCTGCTGTTCTGCCTTTTGGCTGAGCCCAACTACAAATGGGGAAACTGAATCACAGAGTGCCCAAGATCACCCAGTGGGCGAGTCGGGATTCAAACCCAGGCTATCTGGTCCCAGAGTCCATGCCCTTGACCTTACACTGTCTTCTGCTTTATGTTCATTCACTCTTTCAACAATTATCTACTATGTGCCGTTCAGTATTCCAGGCACTGTGGTTTCCAAATTATGAGTTTTCCAAATTCTTTTCAACTGACATCTCTGTAATCAGAACCCAATTAATATTGTTCTTGTTGAAAGAGAGAACATTTTCACTACTGTAGGACTTGATGGTTACGGGAGTGGCAGCAGCTATGGCTTTCATGAATGTGGATGAACAGCCTGGTAGAGGAAAGGCCTGGAGGTTCTGACCGGCACTAGGGTCAAGCTGCTGCCAGTGGCCTCTCCTGGGCCGTTGGTCACTGCCAGGGACCTTGATCAGGGTTGGGTACCTATGGGGGTGGAAACCTGGCCTGGGGCCACGTGGCATACTGGCTCGTGAAGGTCTAAGGTCTAAGGGTCACTGCTGTGAGAATTCCCACCCCTGCAAATGGCCTCATCCTAAGACAACCTCAAACTGCCACCAGAGGAGTGACATCTGTGTCCCCTCAAGGTTCCCACTCTTCAGACTGTCCTCTCCCACTCTCTAAGCTGGAAGAGCCCATGGGAGTCACTTGCTCTGTCCTCCTTGTTTTACACAGGGAAACTGAGGCATAAGGAGGAAACAAGGCTTGCTGAGGGTCCCATGGCCAGGCAGGGCTGAACCAGGTGCGAACCCTGTTTTCCCACCTCCCAGCCTAAGACCCATCCCCACCTCAGCAGACCGAGTCCAGGAAGCAGACACCGCCCAGATGGCTGAGTCCGCTCAGCCCTGCCCTAAGGGCACCCAGGCTGGTGGGGTGACAGGCAAGAACCCCAAGAAACCTCGGCCCGATGACAGGAACGCCAGGGTACAGAGGAGCAGAGAGGTCCATGCTCAGTATGGGACGTTCTCTTCTTAACCCCAATTCCAGTGCTTTAATGACCCACTGGGAAGAAACCCTGTTACTCCTGCCACATTCAATTTGTTGAGATGGTCACAAAGACCCAGCTACTTTCAAGGAGGAGGGCACAGAGAGTCCACCTTTTGATGGGGGGAGTAGCGAAGAATTTGTGGAGATATTTTTAAGGGACCATAATTACAAAAAAGCACACAGTGGTTAATGCTATGATGGAGAAAGTGCGGAGGATTGTGGGACCTCAGAGGGAAACGTGGAGGTGATCAAGGAAGACTTCCTGAAGGTGGGGGTAAAACAAAGTTCACATATATAGGGAGTCCTGGGGTATCCCTATGAATTTAGCACAATCTCTGCTGCAAGTTTTGTTTTCCAAAATGAAATTTTATCTTTACTAGTGCAAATACAATATATCTCTAGGACCACACCCCAAAGAAATGAAAATTAAAATAACGACAAGCAAAAAGATTTTTTAAATATCTATAATTCTGCCCATCCAACCAGAGATAGCCCCTAGTAACTCCTTGCTAAGAATTTTCCAGATTGGCTTACGTGGAAATAAAACGAAGAAATAGAAAGAACCCTACTACATGGTGCTATTAGAAACCGACCCCTCATGACCATCTTTCCTTATCAAGTTATACATTGATTTCATACTTAATTTAATCAATGTCCTTTTGTTGGACACTCTACATTGGGTCCCCCTCCTCCCTTCACTATTTCACATAGCACAGCGATGGTGCCATGACTTATTTGTTCACGAACTTAATTATGTACTTAGGGTCAAGTTCCAGAAGTAGAATTGCTGGGTCACCAGGCATGTGGGTGTTTAATGATTTGCCAAGTTGCCTTCCCGAAAATTTTACCTCCAGCAAGGTCTGAGAACGCCTGTTTTCCCGTGGTGGGAGGGGGAGGCGGGGTGGTTCTTTTTTAAATAAATAGAGTCAAGTCTACAAAAGAGAGAATTTGGATGGTGCCAGCCCTGGTTTTGACTCCTAGCTCTGCCACTTGCCAGGTATGCTATCTTGAGCAAGTGACGTGGCCTCTCTGAGCCTCAGTTTCCTAATCTGTAAAACCAAGCCTTTCTAGCAATGCATAAAAGGTCTTCCTGTGGGAAGGGTGGACAGATATTGTCACCTGGAGTCAGGCCAACCTGCCTTCTGACTCAGGATGGCGACAATTAGCTTTTAAATATGACTCGTGACCCCAACAGTGTCGCAAGCAGATTCCAGCCCCTGTGCCTCCCTTTCCCGTCCTGATCCCAGGAACCTGCCCCCACTCAGGAGTTGCCCCAGGCCTCAGGTCTCAACTACTTAAGGGAGCTGGGCCCAGTCTGCAGTTGCGACAGTCCTGGCCAACTCCACGGGGAATCTGGGATGGCAGCTTTGGCCAGGGCCCTGTCCTTTCTGCTGCTGGGACTACTGCTCACGTTTTTCCCAGGGTCCCTGGGTGTCAACCCTGGCCTGGTCGCCAGGATCACAGACAAAGGCCTGGAGTATGGTAAGAAGCTGTGGCCATCATCTGGACTGGCTGACCTGCTTGGCTTGGCACCAGACTGCTCTGGGTACTCCGGGGGCACTGACTAGGCACCCTCGCTGAGGCAGTATGGCCGTCCCAGCCGGGCAACCCTGGCTCGGACTCTGTGCCACTTGGGCCCTTACTTGTCTTAGCTGGGTTCCCACCAGCCAACAGAGACAAAGATTTGGGTGCAAGTAGTTGATCTGGGAGGTGATTCTAGGGCACACCATAAGGGAGAGGGAATGTGAGAGAGGAAAGGGAAGGCAGGCGGGATGGGGGATGTTACTCAACCAGCTACCACCCAATGACTGGAACAATTCCACCGGGAAAATTCTTGGTGAAGTTTGAAAATATATGTCTTAAAATCGGAAGTCAGAATGGTAGTTACCTGTGGAAGCCAGCACAGACCCAGAAGGAGCACAAGGGAGCCTGTGGTGTGCTACATCTAGAGCTGGGCGGTGGCCATGGGGATGTATCAAAATGTTTAAATTACTGAGCAATACCTTGAGATTAGTGCCCTTTAGGTGATTCGTGTATGTTATGTATCCATTTGAAAGAAGAGGCAAAAGTAGGACTTTTTTTTTAAGATGCTGAAATAAAGCCTCAGAATTAATCTGTCCAAGAAGCAAGAGATCCTGGGGTTTTACGCACCGCTCCCTACAGTAATTGATCGGGGGCTGCTCCTCACATTTGTGGAGCCTCAACTGCCTTATTTGTTAAATGGGGTCATAACATTCACTCAGGCAGGGTTGTAAGAGAGCAATCAGGGAAGTTTTCCCAGGGAAGGTGCGGTGGGGTGGGAAAGGTAAGTGGGAATTAGCCAGAGACAAGGGGGTAGCATTCTGGCAAAGAGACTGTCACATGCATTTGTGTGCAAGTGGGAAAGACAGAGAAGGGGAGGCTGCCGGCGATCGGTGTACACGTGCCCTCCCTGAGGGCAGAATCCTTGCTTCCCTCACATCTTAGAGCAAATAGAAGGTCCTAATAAACATCGTTTATATGGAAACTATAAATCAGGCAAAATTTGCCTTTTGTTCTTTTCCTCATGGGAATGTACCATGTTCATTAAACTGATCCTCTAGAGTTGGATATTTTGGTCCTTTCCGTATTTTTTATAATTTAAACACTGCCTTGCTGTTCCCGGCATTTACTGAGGGCCTGCTGTGTGCCAGGCACCAAGCCAAGCGTGTTTTTGATCCTCCCAGCCGCCTCCATGCTTTGCCATGCTATCTCCTTAATCCTCACGCACCTTAATGAGGAAAGTATTGTTATCATGGCATTTTGACAGATGGAGAATGTGAAGGCTGAGGACTTGCTCAAGGTCACCCAGTTAGAAAGATGCCAAAACCAAGATTCCATCCCTACTATCCTTACAGTTTCTTCGACACAGGCTAGATGCCATAAAGCAGCGGTCCCCAACCTTTTTGGCACCAGGCACCGCTGCTCCTATGAGAATCTAAAGCCTGATGATCTGAGGTGGAGCCGAGGTGGTGATGCTAGCGCTGGGGAGCGGCTGCAAGTACAAGTGAAGCTTCACTTGCTTGTCCACCACTCACCTCCTGCTGTGAAGCCCGGTTCCTAACAGGTCACAGACTGGTACCAGTCCAAGGCCCGGGGTTTGGGGTCCCCTGCTAAAGGACAGAAAAGAGGCCCACCACCCAGGCACACAGCCCTCCTCCCCTTGTGGAGTGATGAAACAGGCATTCTGTTTCATCATCCATAAAATGGGCATGCGTATAACACCACCACATGACATGCAGAATGCCCTGAGTGTTTCTCTTGACATCTGATACACAGAGGGCTCAATAATCTGTAACTGTAATTAATGCTAGTCAGGAAGTCAGCTTCTCTCCCCAGAAGGGTGGGAGCCACCAAAGAGATTAGAGGAGAAGGAAACAGACCAGGCTGACTGCCAGCTTTTTCCTATCCACAGCGGCCAAGGAGGGGCGGGTGGCCCTGCAGACTGAGCTGCACAGAATTATGCTGCCCGACTTCACTGGAGACTTCAAGATCAAACATGTCGGCCGTGGGTACTACGAATTCCACAGGTGGGGAGCCTGAGGTGGTGGGGCAGGGGCAGGGGCCTGGAGAGGGAGGGGAAGCCACAGGAATGGGTCAAGGCCTCTCTGAGACAGAGAGTGAAATGGGTCCTCACAGAGGTCAGAGGGAAGTTCTGGGAGGGAGTTGGGCTCCCTCATTCACTCGTGTAACAAATATTGGTCAAGACCTACTAGTTGTGTGAGCTGAGCCTCAGTTTCCTTATCTGTAAAATGAAAATGACACTGGTACCTCCTTTGAGTCATAATCCAGGCTCTGGTCTGACCACTGGATATAGTCTGGAAGGGAAGATAGACCCTAAACTTTAAATAGAGTAGCTCAACTGTTAGAGCTGAGGTTTGTATATACACCTGTGGGAGTCAAGGCAGGCTTCTCAGAGGAGGTGACACTTGATTTGCATCTTTAAAGGATCATTAGATACCAGCAACTGATGCTAAAAAAGAAAAGGCATGGAACATTGAGGGACAGACAATGGAGGAAGTGCAGTTCAGGCCACAGCTCATCACCTCCCCTCGCCTCTGCTCACTACCATCGATTGCTTCCTTCCTTTCTACTTTTATTCAGTCCATCAGCAGACATTTACTGAGCACCTATTATGTGCCAGGCAAATAAAATAGAACTTGACCATTCTTTTCCCAGTGACAGCCCCACAATAGTGTGTCATCTTGGCTTCCTGCCCTCAGCCCTTTTTGTGTGTTTTCTTGAACTGCCTTGGCCTTCCCTGACTCTGATGTGTCAAAGGAGGAGATGGCTGGGAGACGAAGCCACAAACCCAGAGGGGTGTGTGCACTGACGGATCACACCCACGATCACGAGATTTGTGGGCTCTGATCCTGAGTATGATTTGGGGCAAGTGCGAGGTTCTATTTCTTCCCGTGTGAAAAGGGAACAGAAACAGTGCTGACCTGTTCCACGAGGCCCAAGTGACACAATCGATGTAAAGTGCTTAGCATGGTGCGTGGTCAGCTTGGGGCACACAGGAGGCACTCAGGTAGTGGGGGTAGCCAGACATCTGCCCGAAGCAGCCCTACTGGTCCAGACCCCACCGGGAAGAAGGTACAAAGGTGAGCAAGACCCCTGCTGAGGCTGGACCCGGGCCGGGGCTGATGCTGCCCTCCGTGTCTCTCTCTCCAGCCTGGACATCCGCAGCTGTGAGCTGCTGGGCTCTACGTTGACACCCCTCCCCGGCCAGGGCCTGAGTTTCTCCATCTCCGACTCCTTTATCCGGGTCCAGGGCAAGTGGAAGGTGCGCAAGTCATTTCTGTAAGTTGGCTCGGCTCCCAGGCCCTCGGGTCCTTGGCCTTGGTCTCGTTCCCATTCTTCTTGGGTCCAAGGAGTTCCTAGCTCATCAGAAAGAACACAGGATGGATGGAGGGAGCCCAAGCCCAGAGGTCACCCGGGTTCCAAGTCCTGGCTCTTGGTAATAGTGTATCTTCTTGGTTTGCTTCCCCCAGCAGCAGACCCCAAGGCAAGAATTCAGGTGCAAGTACTTTATCTGGAAAGTGATCTAAGGAAATATCCATAGGGGTTTGGAGACAGTGTGGATGGAGCCGCACCTCTGAGTCACCCAATTGCAGATATGCGACCCTATCTTCCTATTTGCCATTGGTCAAGGGCAGCTCCCCGGGCACTAACTTTCCAGCTCTTTGAATTGTTCTCTGACCTCCAAGGTCCTAGAAGGAAGGTGGGTTTGTCTGCAGAGGCTGCCATAATTAAATGTCACAGACTCACGGTTGAAACAACAGAAATTTATTTTTCTCACACTTTTAGAGGCATGTGTCCAAGATTAAGGTGTCAGCAGGCCTGGTTTCTTCTGAGTCCTCTCTCCTTGGCTTTCAACACAAGAAATCTCATTAATAATTTTTATGTTCATTACATGTTGAGATGATACTACTAAATTAATTTTACCTCTTCCTTTTTGCCTTTTTAAATGTGGTTCCTAGAAAAATTTAAATTAACTTATGTGACTCGCATTATATTTGTATTAAACAACAAGGCTTTAGAAAGATGTTCAGTATATATATAATAACATATATATATATATATCTCAACTATGTATGCACATTTATTCAATTTCCTCATAAAAGAAATTAGGCCACATTCTTCTGTCCTGGCTTTTTTCACTGAAATATATTAAAGATCTCTTCATACGAGCATGTGATAATTTTCTCATTCTTTGTTTTAACCTCTTTTTAATGTAATATTTTTATTGAGGTGAAATTCACATAACATAAAATTAACCATTTTAAAGTATACAATTTAGTGGCATTTAGTACATTCATGACATGATGCAATCAACACCTCTACCTAGTTCCAAACCATTTTTGTCACCCAAAGAGATAACACCCCACCCATCAGGCAGTCACTTCCCACTTCCCCCTTCCCCAGCCCAGGGCAAGTCTGTGGATTCAGGACATTTCACATAAATGGAATCCTACAATATGTGACATTTTGTGTCTGGCTTCTTTCACTTAGCATAATGTTTTTGAGGTTTATTCACATTATAGCACATGTTAGGACTTTATTCCTTTTAATGGATGAGTAATATTCCCTTGTCTAGGTAGGCCACATTTGGCCTTATTCTTTTCAAAGGCTACACAGCATAGATAAATGCCCACTACTTATTGGATCTGTCCCTCCTAGCTGACATGTGGGTCATTTTCTCATTTTTTGCTATTATCCATGACATTTCAGTGAGCTGCTCCACACACATATATACCTTGGACAGAAGAACCACAGAATAAAGGCTTAGAAATTAAATTGCTAGATCAAAGATACGTGTGTGAAATTAGGATAAATCCATGAATTTGTATCCAGAGGTGTTTACCCAGCCCCAGTGTCTGAGGTTTCTGTCTGCCCATGCCTTCACTAGCACTGAGGATTAAAATTTCAAAAGTTTTGTCAATGTGATAGGTGAATACTGGCATCGTTATGATTTATTTTCATTTGTAATAACGTTTTGCATGCTTATTTGCAACCAAACTTCCTGTTCATATCTTTAATCTCTTTTTTTTTTCTTTTAGGTTGTTTTATCTTTTTCTTATTAAGTAGTATAGGCTCGTTCTTTGTGTATTAAGGAAATTAGCTCATATGTTAAGGAAATTAGTTCTTTGGCTTGCTCATGATGAAATTTTTTTTTTACTTTGCATATGGCATTTTGTTGTTGTTGTTCACTGAAGCTTTAATTTTCTGTGCTGGCAAGTGTATCAACCATTTCCTGTGCGGCTTCTGAGACTTAGATCCTGCCTAGAAAGGCCTTAGCCCATCCCTGACTATAAATAAGTGAACGCAGGTTTTTTTCCTAGATTCTTTAAGGTCTTATTTGTAATAAATTTTTGATTTGTAATAAATATTTGTAATAATTTTTTTGATTAATTGTTTGCTCCAGCTTCACTTATTTGGGGGTGAGAACTGCACTTTATGTTTTCCCCCAAAATGGCCAAGCCTAGCCTAGGAATTGGTCATTGTTTCTCTTGTCTCCTCCAGGAAACTACAGGGCTCCTTTGACCTTCAGGTCAAGGGCATCACCATTTCGGCCAACCTCCTCTTGGGCAGCGAGCCCTCGGGGAAGCCCACGGTCACTGCCTCCAGTTGCAGCAGCCACATCCGTGACATAGAGGTGGACATCTCGGGAGGTTTGGGGTAGGTCACCACTGGGACAGTGGCCAGTTTGACCCCTGGTTGCCACCCAAGATCCCACCAGCCAGTGGCCTGGCCTTTGATAAGCAAAAGGGTCCAGGTGAAATGCACAGGCACTTGGAGGTCATTCTTTGGGGGACATTGCTGAGACTAACAGATGCAGATTCGAGGTCAGGGTAATGGTGTGCCATTTCTACCAAAAAATGAATGTCAAGAAACCATCATCAGGTGAATGAAATTCAACTATTAGAGGAAAACAAGGGCTTTTGGCCAAAAGAGAGTTTGTGAAAAATATATAAGGCTTTGGGCAAGCCTCTTTGAGTCAAGTTTCCTTAATTAGAAAAATATTGATTCTCAAGCCCCTCCTCCCCCACCCCCACCCCACCCCCCAAAAAAATATTGAATTTGCTTGGTAAGTAGCAGGGCACTCAGATGCCAGATGCCTTGAACCAGTGAGTGTGCTGGGAGTTGGGACTCTGGGACCTGGGAGGGTACCAGGATGGGGTGGGGAGAACTCCCATGGGAACTGGCCTAGCCAGAAGCCAGGGCCTGGCTTTCCCTGCTGCCCACCATCACTGTGTTCAGTGACACACAAGCGACCATCCACTGTGCTCCTCTCCCCAGGTGGCTGCTGAATCTCTTCCACAACCAAATTGAGTCCAAATTCCAAGAAATATTGGAGAACAAGGTAGGATTGTCTGCGCTGCTGACATCTGCTGAGCCACGCAAGGGCTGGGCTCAAGTCCTCACTGACCTCTGGCCCTGGACAGCCATGGGGCCTAAGGCCCAGAGAGGACAAATCATTTGCTGAAGGTCACAGAGCTGGTGTATAGCAAAGTTGGGAACAAAACGTAGGTCTCTAGACCTTGAGTCTGTCCAGTGAGGCAGAGGATGGCTAGCTGCTTGGCCAGCAGTAAAACAGCAGAGGCCAAACAGACTCCTGACCCTCCCTCTGCTTGACTTTGCTCACTGCCCCCCACTGCCCTGCATTCCACAAAGGCCAAAAAGGAAATTAACACTGAGATGCCTGCAGAGACCAGGTGGGAAACTTTAGGAGTGCATGAACCAGGGGAGAACCCCAGTTCCTACCTGGGCAAGCTCATGAGAACCTGCCCTGGATGGGAAGGCAGCCACGAAGTGTCAGTTTTTTGTATTAAAAAAATTATGTAAAATCTCCAAATTTTGGAATCTTGCTAAAACAAAGAAGTTTCCATGTTAACCTTCAGATCTCCCAAACACTCACTTCATACCAAAATCCCATTTCCCGGGTATCATACACCTATAGCTGTCGGTAGCAATGACTGTGCTTAGCAAGGGAGAAAGTAATGAAGAAGAAAAGGGGAAAACACACACAGATATGCACATAGACACGCACCTTGCCCTCTCTCTCGGTCCAGGGTCTGGTTTGGCTTTGAGAGCTCACTGGTGATTCATCAGGAATAGCAGGCAGACTCTACAGAGTGGGCGTGGCAAGCTATATTCTGTTCCTTTCCTTGTTCTGGGGTTCTGGGGTCTCAGGGAGCTTGGAAAACATGCCAGCCTCCTTTTCCAGCACCTTTTTGCCATGTTGTAATGCATCAGGGGAAACAGAGAACATTGATCAATCCAGCCAAGTAGATACTAAGTGATGGCGTTTAAAAAGTATCTACATTAATTATACACTTATTTGTGTGGCTATTTCTACTTACTATCTAGTTCTGCTATTCAACTCTAAATTCTGGGAGTTCAGAGCCTCCCATAGGAAAAGATCTTTAATGATGGGGTTTCAGGCAGTGCCTCCAGCCGATGTCCCCTCATCAGGCCAACTACCTAGCTCAGATGTTCAGCTCTGGGACCAACTTTGGAAGATCCAACTGGACTCTATTGATTGTTTTTGTTCCTTCGGAACCTGGCACATGCTAAGTACGTACACTTTTTTGTAGAATTAATGAGCAATGGGCAAATACGTGAAATAATGTGACTAAAGCAATTAGCACAGTGCCAGACCGAAGCCAGGGAACTCCCTCAGCCTTTCTCTTCCTATTTTTTTTTTTCCAGATTTGTGAAATGCTCCAGAAATCGGTGACCTCCGACGTACAGAGTTATCTCCAAACTCTGCCAGGTAGGGCATCTTACCCAACTCTAGACCAGTTTATTTCTATCGGTTTTTTAAGAGCATATACATACCTTATAAAAGCTTAAATGGGATAGAAGTATAGAAAGTATACATTGAAAGTCTCTTTTCTCCCCGAATTTTCTTCCAAGAGGTAACCTCTATGTTGGGTGTATCCTCTCAGATATTTTCTTGGCATATGCCAATATAAATATACATAAATATATGAATATACATTCACATATGTATTCCTCTTACAGGAATATATGTGTATATGCACAATTATGAATTGATATTAATCTGTAGGTAGCATAGGTATATTATCCTTTTGTAACTTGCATATGTTATAGATTTTTCTATATCAGCGCATGAAAATTGATCTTACTTTTTAAAACTTTTTTTGTGAAAGTTAATACATAGGAAAAAGTATTCAAACCATAAGTGAACGGCTTAAAGAATTTTCACAAAGAGCATGCATAGACCAGCTCCCAGATCGATATACAGAATGTGACTGGCCTTTCAGAGCCCCCTCACGTGTCCTTCGTCACTATCCAATCGAGGGTAACCATTATCCCAACTATTACCAGCAAAAATTAGTTTTGCACTGTGTATTTGAGTGGAACCTTGTAGTGTTTAGAAGAATTTATTTAGAAGAAAGTATTTAGAAGGCTTTCTCTGTTCCACTTTAAAATACAAATTCGATCTATGTTGTCGCACATAGTGAGTTCATTCATTCTCTTTGCCGTGTCATATTCCACTGTCTTCGTCCCTCCATTTATTTCCATTCTACTGTTGAAGGCCATTTGGGTAGTTTCAGTTCTAGACCATTATGGTTAGTGCTGCTATAAATATTCTAGTACAACGTGGATACATTTCTTGGGGTTCTACTCAGGAGTAAAATTGCGAGCTCATGTGGTATGCATCAGTTCAGCATTATCAGATCCTGCAGTTTTTCAAAGGGGCGGTAACAGACCTCATTTTAATAACTGTAGTATTCACAGTTATGTCATCATTTATTTAATAAGTTCCCTGTTTCTGGACATGGAGGCCTGTTGCCGTCCTTTGCTATTGCCAACATGAGGTAAGGGACAACTTCTTTGCCCCCACATGTAAGCGTACCATAGAACAATCTTCTACAGTGGAGGCCCTGGATCTAGGGTGCACACATAAAGTTTGGAGGGACAGTCCCTGACATATTGTCTGAGATGTTCTCTGATGCCGTGATCCCCAGGTCCCCCACTCACTTGTTGATATCCCCTTCAGTGAAGGCCCAGGTGGGCACAAATGACCCAGTACATGGGACATAGATCTCCTGTTCCTCCAGGACTTTGGGGGAAGTGTCTGAGCCCCCCGGACATGCCTGACCTTCCTGGTTATTGGTTCATGTTGATAGGAGGCTGATTTCCCTGAAGGTCAAGGCCTCAGTTGTAAACTGGAGAGCAACACTCTTGGTTGGAGAATTCTCCCCATTGGATGGCTTCCTTGGCATGAAGCTCCAGGTGTGGATGGGCTGTCAGATCTGGGCTCCTCCAACCGTGTGTGTGTGTGTGTGTGTGTGTGTGTGTGTGTGTGTGTGTGTGACCCTGTAACCTGCTCAGGCCCCAGACTGAGCAAACCTCCCACACACATGGCTAACCCACCAGTGGGAAAAGAGAACCCAGGTCATCTCTTTCTTGACGAAGCAGTTCTTTGCCCCAGGGCTGGGCTGGGTAGAGAGTCTTGAGACAGAAGGGCAGGGGACAATAAAGACTGTCACAGAAGTACAAGTCACCCCTTCTCCATCTCCTGGCTCCTAATTCTGCCCCTCCCCTGGTTCACAGTCACCATAGAGATCGACAGTTTTGCCAGCATCGATTACAGCTTAATGGAGGCCCCTCGGGCAACGGCCCAAATGCTGGACGTGATGTTGAAGGTGAGGGCTCTGGAGCCGGGACTCGGGTGGATCCTGCCTCTACCTGGCATTTCCTCAGCGTTAGTCCTTTCTTGGGGCTTCTTGTCTCTCTGGCTTCAATCTGTGCTCATCTAAACTTGTGGTTCCAGCTGTGTCCAGGGCAGGGCAATATGGAGTGGTGAGGAGTGTTCCCCGAGCCAGGATCCTCTCACAAGTGTTATACAACTCTAAGGTCTTGAAACTTCTCCTTCCCCTTCTTCCCCTCCTTCACCTTGCCCACTATGCAGGCAAGGTCAATCACAGCTGGCCCTCGGTGGAATGGAGGGGCTGGCCAGTAGGTCTTACGGGTTAGTATAACAAAGCTGGGGAGTTATTTTTTAAGGGATTCTGGACACGCAATACTTTGACCCAAAGGAAAGCATCTTTAATGGTGGCGTTTCAGGCAGTGTCTTTAGCCAGTGCCTCTTTATCAGGCTGTATAGGCAAATACCGAGCTCAGACGTTCAGCCCTGGGATGTACTTTGAAAGTTCAAATGGACTTTATTTTCTCTCTCCAGGCTGAAATTTTTAACCATGATCACCGCTCCCCAGTTGCCTTCCTTGCTCCAGTCATGAGCCTTCCTGAGGAACACGACCGAATGGTCTATTTTGCCATCTCTGATTACGTCTTCAACACAGCCAGCCTAGTATATTACAAGGCAGGATACCTGAACTTGTCCATCACAGATGATATGGTGAGGATAGTGACAGAATAATGTTCACAGATAACAATGTAACCTGGCTTCGCTTCCATATTTCCTTTCCACACCATTTGCATCAGTGAAATAGTCAATATGACTAAGAGAAAAGATCAAGGCTAGGAAAAATATAAGTTAGCACAATTTCTGTTTTCACTTTGGCTGCCAGGAAGCTCAAAGTCAAAGTTCTTTCTCCCTTATTACAACTGTGGAAGAGTTTATGGTTTACTTGTCTGTGTTTTACTTTCCCCTAGTCTAGACCTGTTATTCTAATTCCTATTTTCTCTCATCCTGATGGTTTATGGAGGGTTTAAAAAAAAAAGATGTTAGTGAATGAGGTAGGATAATAGATACACTGATAAATGCATGAAGTTACATAGAATAGACCAAGTTAAAGATAAAACACAATTATGAAGACTTTGGACCTATAAATTGATTTTTTTCTTTCTAAATCACAAATCTGTCTGGGAGCTTCCTAGTGGCCAAAATGGAAAAGGACATGAATTAGTGATTCATGGTGAAAAGGAGACGAAGTCTTCCTAGCACTTACGTCTAAAACAACTCTCTCAAATGTGGCTTTGTATAGGTATACTAAATTTTGTAGCAGATTGCTTTAGTATTTCTCATCCCTTTAATACTTCTGGGTTTCAGAAAGTCGTTGCTTATAGCTCTTTGTAAAAGCTGAGGCCTCGTGAACTATGTTAGGATGGTGTGGGAAACACAGTACGGTCCAATTTGGATGATCCAGTGTCCCTGATCAAGGACCATCTGGTGGATGGGCGGAGTAATTAGTTGCCCTTTGAACTATTTCTCACACATGCACAGGCCTTTTCTATATCATGTTCGATTTGCCCATCCCACCTGAGGTGCAGTCCTTTCTTTTAGTAGATGGGATCATATAACTATGTTTTATTGAGCACTCATTATATGCTAGACCAGGTGCTAAATGCTTTGTATCCACCATCTCGTTTAGCCCTCACAATGACTTGGTAGGTGGGGACTATTATTATCCTCCTTTGATAGGTGAAGAAATCAAGACTCAGAGAGGTGAAGGCACTGGCCCAAGACCACAGAGTGACAAAGCCAGGAGCCCAATCTAGCTCTGTGTGACTGCAAATCTCACCCTCAAGGACCCTCTGAGTGAGTCCTGAATGTCACTTGTGCCTCAAGAAGAGCAGACAGGACCTGGGGACTCATGTATTCATGGTGAATGCAGGACAGGCATCTCCTCACTGCCATGGTAACCCCAGGCAGTTGAGAAGTTATAATCCTGGACATTCCCCACCTCCCTCTTTAGACCTTCAGCTCTGGTGGGAGCACCTAAAATTTCTTTGTGTCTCTTTGCTGCAGGTTCCACACACTTCTACCCTCAGACTGACCACCAAGTCCTTCCGTGCCATCATCCCCCAGGTAAGGCTTCCCTCAGCCCATGGAAAGTGTAGACTGAGTCTTCAGGGGTTTCCCTTTAAGCATTTGAGATCTTGCTCCCCGGCATATGTCGTGAATTTTGCTCAAATAAACTCTTATAAAAATTGAAAATCAAAAATAAAACTCCAAAAACCTGTGCACTCCTCTTAGGTTGACCAGGAGTCAGAAGGCCGGCAGCGAGGCCCCCAGTAAAGGCAGGGTCACTGCAGGCTCCAGAGCTTTCTTCCCTTCGAAACCCAAATAACACAGGCCTGAGTCCCGTGTCTTGTGGGACCTCAGGTTGCCCAGTCTTTTCTTGGGGATATCTGAGAATCCCAAGGAATGTCAACATGTCCCACAAAATGTACCCTAATTAATAACACCAATAACGTACTAGGGACCAGGCATTATTCTTGATGCATTAAGAAATGATATTTTGACTGGATAATACATTCTCATGGTTCAACATTCAAATGACATAAAAAGGTATAGAATGGAAAGTCCCCAGTCTACTCCTGTCCCCTAATCACCCTGTTCCCATCTCGAGTGTACCAATACTATCAGAGTGTATACATCTTTCTGGTGACATTCTATGTATATACAAACAAATTTGTGTCTCTCTCACTCATGTCTTTACTCACCGGTAGGCATATTATACACACCATTCTGTACCTTACGTTTTCCCTTTCTGTACCGGGAGATCATTCCACATAGGTAGATAAAGGTCTTCCTCACTCTTGCTGTCATGGGCATGCAGTCTGCCAATGTAAGAACTGATCAGAGCTTGCTTAACCAGTGCCCCACGGAAGGCGGTGAAGGTTGCTTCCAGTCTTTCGCTACATCAGTGTTGCAGTGAATACCTTGCAGCTCTGTCATGTGCAGCATCTCATTTAATCTCACAGAAATCTACCTGTTCTCTCCAACCTTTGGAGTTCCCCCAAAACATAGGTCACATAGGCTGTAGTATTTAATATGCCTTGCAAAAGGCTAGATGTTAGCTGAGAGGATTTATAATGGTGGGAAATTTTTTAAGCTTCAAGTTTTGCAGTGCATGGGCCATGTCCTTCCCTAAGGCACTCCCTACAGACTCTTTCTCTCCCTAGAGCTTGCAAGAGCTCAACCTGCCACCGTGTTGTCAGGGCTAGCTTTGGAGGGCCCTTGGCGACTTTCTGGCTCCAACATCACTTTTGTCCCAGAAAGAGGAGGAAACTCTCCCTCCTCCTTCCTGCTCACATCTTCATCAACCTGGCCGAGCAGCAACTCATCCCACCTTCTTAGTAAAGTGTTTTACCTCCTCAACTTTCTAAACATCTTTTTACTATAGGAGGTAGATTTTATATTTGCATAACCAAAAGGCTCATGGGACTGTTGCTCTTCCACCAACTTCCCCTTGAAAAGAAGCAGTCTTGCCCCAAATTAAATTATGTACCTACCTCTAGTTAAACAGAAAATTGCGTATGCTTTTGAAATGGAGGGATATAGCTGTGTCGTATTTCAAAGACATTAGTGTCTGGTCTCTGTATACGCAGTTACCTGAGTGTGATGAGGATGTGTAGAAACAATAGTTCCCACCTATCACCTGGGGTGGGGAGTGAAAAAAATTGGCTCGACCTTTCTGGAAGATAGTTTGCTAATTCCTGTCAGAGAGCTTTAAAAATATCCCTACCGTTTGACTCGGCAATTCCACTTCTAGGAATGTATCCTCCCAAAATAGCAAGAGTACGCGGGGTGGGGGTGGTCATTATAATGGCAAAACCTTGGAGACAATTTGATGCCCAGTAAGGTTAGATCAATGACAGTACTCATGTACAATGGAATACAATGCAGCCGTGAAAAGGATGATGCAGACTCTCTATGTCCGACATGACAAGATACCCAGTTATACCATTTAGAGAAAAAAGTACAGAGCATTTCGTGGGTGTAAAATCAACCAAAAAGCATTGTCAGCTTTATCTGACTCCCTCCAGGCTTTTCCCGCAAACCCGTATATTTTCTTCTCTTGATATAATTGCTTCATTCTTCCCCCAGTTAGCCAGGCAGTACCCCAACATGAAGATGGAGCTCCAGGGAGCAGTGATCTCTGCCCCATTCCTGAACTTCAGCCCTGGGAATCTGTCCTTGGCCCCCCAGATCGAGATTGAGGCCTTTGTGCTCTTGCCCAGCTCCGTCAGGGAGCCCATCTTCCGGCTTGGTGTGGTAAGTTCCAAAACCTGTGCAAATGCTGTTCCTTTTCCTGGTGTGCATCCTCCTGCCCCCTGCTCCAACTCACACTTTGGCTAATTTCTTCAGATCTCAGCTTAAATATCACTTCCTCAGGGAGGCCTTTCTTGATTGCCTTTAACCCTGATCTACCTTAGGCCCCTTGTCATTTTTCTCTTATAACATCTTATTATTGTTCTTCATTGCATTTGTTATAAAGATGCTTATGTAGCTGTTTGCAGGTTTATTCGTTTAATGTATGTATCCCCCACTAAGTGAGTCTGGGCTACTGAAGGGAGGAAGGTATAGGGATGCTTTGACCTGTTTGCTCTTCTCTGTAACTGTATCTGACCCCCAAAGACTACATTTCCCAGGCTCCCTTGAGCTCTGACTTACAGCTAGGTCAGCCAATGGAAGGCACTGCCAGGAGAATGGAGGCCAGGAGGAAGGAAGAAGCCAGGGAATTGTTCTTTCTCTCTTTGACTTGAGCAGAGACTTGGGCAGTGACTGTATCTCCTCCATGGTGGCTCCCGTAACTCCAACTCATCCCTCTGTTCTTCTGGTCCTAGGGTGAAAACGGCTTCTTGCCTCTGCTGATCTGAGTTGCCTCTCCAGCTCTTTCTGGCTTCTCAGCAATTCCATCACTTGTATAACCAACTCCCTGTATTAACTTCTCTGCAAGTTAAATATTGAAAGTAGTTTCTACTTTTCCAATGGATCCCATCTAATAGAGAAGGGATTCTGAGTCTTTTAGGGCTCCTGCTCACTTGAACAATTTTGCTCTCTTGTTTAAGGTTTGAAACTCAACAAGACAAATTCCTGGAAGGGTGATTGCTCCTAGATGCTATATCTGCAATTTGATATTGTTATTGTTATGAAAATTATTGTTATAAATCTATTTTAAATTAAACATAATCTATTATTATTACTATGGCTGAATCTTGACCCTGAGATAGCTAGAAATGATCCCTTTAGAGATCTCCAGGGATAGGCACGCACACCTTCTGGTAGTCTGTTCAAAGTTTAATTGCTATCATAGTCAGAAATTTCAAGTACAGATGTTCAAATTCAAGTTTAAACATTTATCGAGCACCTACAATGAGCCTTCTGGGAGTCTATAGTCTAGTGAGTAAGTTCCTGCTTTAACTCATTGAGCTTTCTGTTTAGAGAAGACAGCTTGTATTCATAGTTGTCCTTGTACATGACAACCTCCCTCATTCAGACCTGTTCCCTTCTACCGGTATTTCTAGGCTGTTAATGTATCTGCCATATTGACCTTCAACACCAGCATGATCACTGGGTTCCTGAAGCCAGAAAAGTAAGTCAACCTCCTACCCTCATGGGAACATTCGACTGAGCTTGCTCCATCTGGCACTGTAGCTGATTCCACAAACTTCCTTTCCACCTAACCCCATTACTTCCAAATTTCTACAGAATTTACTAATGCTGCTTTTTCTTAATCTATGGATTTTAGACATCAGCTATACTGACTTTCTGAAGTGACAGATAAAGATTGAGCTCCTTTACACTACCCACTTTCCCTCTTCGAGTCTCCCCAATAAGGTTATATCACTGTTTTTGGTTACTCAGTCATATTTTTCACTCCCACCCTTACCCCACCCTTGGCCTTGTGCCTTCTCAAGCCAGTGCCTCCTTCTTTCTGGGGATCCCCACATTGCTTAGGCATCCCATGGGCATCATGCCCACACCTTTGAATCTTATCTGATTCATTATAGGGTACAAATGGAACTGAAGGAATCTAAAGTTGGAGTAATCAATGTAAGTTATTATTGTTTTTATTTATGAAATAATTTAGGTATTAATTAATTCAGAGTGTTTACTAAGCAATGCTTTGACACCTATAGGATAAAATAGAGAAGGAGAGAGCTGCTCTCCGCCCTAGGAAAGTGTAGAAGTTCTCACAAAGACATAAAACATAGGGCCAAGCAATAGATGCATTCCAATATTAGGCACTACTATATAATTAAATCTTATATAAAAATCTTCCATTGGAAAGAATTCTTTTAATTACAAGAAATAGAAATAACTTAAAATGTCTTAGTTATACAGGACAAATGTACAGAGTCATATAATTAAAAAAAAGAAAAGAAAAGAAAACTAAGGCGAGAGGTTTCAGGCAAAGCTGGATCCTGGTACTCAAATTAGTTCACCAAGACTCTCTCCATCTCTTTGTCTGTTTTCATTTGTGTTGACTTCATTCTCAGGCAGGTTATTCCCATTAGTGAAAAAAAAAACAAAACACAAAATTTCCTGTAGTATCATTTTTTCTAACTTACAAAATAATAATTTTTAAAATATCCCCATGCTAGCTCTCATTGGATTAATCTTAGTCATGTGACCATTCTTTAGCCAATCTCTGTAGCCAGAAATTCAACAAAGCCAATTGACCAAGGATACATTTCTTAGAGCCAGAATTTTCAGTCCTCAACACTATGGACTGAAATTGGAAAGGAGGGCTTCCCAGGGGGAAATAGGGACTCTGTTATTAAAACGAGAGGAATTGATTGCTGGGCTGACAAAACCGAGATGATTTCCACGAAGAGGAAAACGTGGTGAAACAGACGGCTCACCACTAGAGGAGGACAGAGAAGGGGAAGATCAGTGTGAGCTGAAGTGATCAAGGAGAGATTTCTGAAAAGAGAGAAGGTGGAGTGAGGGCAGCTCCCCCTCGCAGGCAGAAGAGGGTATGAGAAGACTTTATCTTGCAGTCATTGTCTTCCTCTTTACCATCCTACACATGCTGGCCTCCTCTTCCCAGACTTTCCCTAAAGTACTTATGAAGAAGAAATAAGCACGTAAAGTGTAGGGAGAGACACCATCCCTAGAGATCCCACGGATGACTCCTTTCAGAGAATGAAGAAAAATATAAATAATGACACACTATTAGTGTAGCGGTGCATGGCATATAAAAGTGTTTTATAAAGTAAAACATTCCTATGTAAAGACACACACACACACACACACACACACACATACACACACACACACACAACACACACCTTATCGGGATTTGAGAACATGGACTGTAAAAAGCCATTGATCTGTAGAATCAGATAAATCTGGATTCGAATTCTGACCCTGCCACCCAGTTTCTAGCAAGTCGCTTTTATTCTGTGGGCCTCAGTTTCCTCATCTGTGAAACAGGGACTTTAGTATGGACATCGAGGGGTCATTGTGAAGGTTGAATCAGATATGTATGGAATGTCCTGAACCTATACCTGGCACACAGTGAGTGTTAAAAGTTGTGTTTCATAATTTTCGTTCTGACTTGAAATTTTTTGTATCATACAAGTAATTCAGGAAAACATTATCGCTATTAAAAAAAAAAATTAAATACTAAAGACAAAGTTAAGCCAAACCTTGACGTCCTTCCTAGAGAAAAGACGGTTGGGCATGTAGTTTTCCAAAATTTTTCTAGCACGGTTCATACATATAAATGTGCATCTCAAAATAGTCTTATCTTAAAAAATAGTGGCAGGATGTAGGCGTCTGAAATTTGCTTTTTTCAAGCCTTTTGTCATGTCAGCAAAATGAATCACCCTACCCCCCGGGCGGCTGTTTGAAGGTTTACTGGTGGGCACGAGATGGCACATGTGGTCACCGTGTACCTCTTCTGTTCTCCACCAGATAGAGCTATTGGAGGCACTGCTCAACTACTACATTCTCTACTCCTTTTACCCTGAGGTCAATGGTAAGAATCACTATGGATTTTGAGTGGACACTGCTTTTGTGGGGAAAGAGAGCTGAACTTGGAATTGGAAAACAGGCCTTTCTTGTAGGCTATGAGACCTTGGGTGAGTCACTTCTCTCTGAGCTTCAGTGGCCTGTAAGATGGAGGTGTTGTAGTCAACCCCATCTCCCTCCAGGGCTTAAGGAGAGTTGGGAACGGGGGCAGCTCTTCAGTGCACAGGAAACTCCTAAGAGAAGGAGGGACTCACAAGAATGCCCTCTACACCCTGAAGTGGCAAGTGAAAGATTAAGTACCGAGTTAATATATAGGGCACAAGAAACCCCACCTCTGAATTCACATTTCCAAGACAATTGCCAACTCCCTGATTAAAAAATAAAGCATAAAGACCTAAACCCTGTTTCCGTGAAGCTCTACTTCATTTGGCTGCAATAGAAAGCAAGACAGGAACGAAGGGCAGAGAGCAGATTCCCATCAAGCTTCTTATCTGCCCCATATCTGCCACTCCTTCCACACAGCCTCATGGTCGAGAGCTAAGGCTCCCGTGACAGGCTGCCTAGGTTCAAATCCCAGTTCTGCCACTTTCGAGCTGTGTGACCTGTTACTTGGCCACTCTGTTCCTCAATTTCCTTATCTGTAAAATGAGAATGATAATCATATCTACCTCACAGTCTTTGGTGATAATTAAGTGAAAATGTACTGTGTATAGAGCTTGCATGGAGGATTTTTTTAACTTTGTCTATAATTGTTATTTATTAACAAATGTCTCTCAACATTGTGCCTCAACCTGCAGATAAGTTGGCAAAAGGCTTTCCTCTTCCTCTTCTAAAGCATATTCAGCTCTACAATCCTGTGTTACAGATCCACAAGGTCAGTGGGTTCAAGGGCATTTTATGGTCCACCCCTGCCCTACGGTTCAGGTTATCTTTCTAGAACAGCATCTATAAGGTGGGATGAGTGGGTTGGCGGGCTTGGGAGCCTTAAAGGAGACACTGCACTGTGCCTGGGAATCTGCACCCAGCAAATTAACAGCTACTGACAAAAGTGAAGGGCAGCAGAGTGGTCAGGAACATAATAACTCTGACTGACTGTTATATTTGAAAAACAAATGTCTAAAGAACTTTTGGGCCCAGAGATACCCAACATCCAACTACTGTTGAGTGCTTACAATCATTGAGTTGGACCAATCATTGTTCAAAGCAAAGCCTGAGTGACAATTCACATGGCCAGCCTAAGTTTTTGCCTCTATAGAAACGGGGTGCATTTTAAACCTCACTGGGCTCTTGTGAAGATGAGAGACCAAGTATGAAAGCTTCTAGCTCAGTTTGGCACATGGGAAGTCATAAGAAGATGTGTTGTATGGTATCGTATTCATTAGAATTTTGAGGTCAGTGCTGTTCATTTGTTTGACCCCAAAGGCAGGGGATGGATCACTGTGGGAAACAATAGGACTTGGTCTTGAATTCAGAATTCTTGCCCCTTTGGGTGATGGAAACTTCGGAGGAAGTCAGAGCATAAACCTCAGCAGCTCACAATTTTGTATTATTCGCCAAGGGAAGAAAATTTAGGCGACACAAAGGACATTTACGAGGCTTGCCAGGAAGCGGCAGCTCGGGAAATGACATAAATTGCCACTTTAGAGAAGGTAGCTGACAAAAGCTGTACTTTATGAAGAACTTGGGGACAGAGGGACACCCACAACTTATGCACTGATCTGGTTTCTAACACGGCTTGTGTTTCCCCAGCTGTCAGTTTCCCTTTAAATCAGAGATGCATCTTTTTGGAATAGAGGATGCTTTTACCATCCTGTCCTGTCTTTTATCTCTCCTAGGACTTCCTGTTCTTGGGCGCCAACATCCAGTACATGAGAGTTTGAGGTCAAGGAAAAAGACGGAGCTTGGAGGCCACAGCTGGATCAGCCAGTTGCGTTTCCAGATGTGCAGGATATTCCCAGATCTTCTGGGAGGATGAAGACTTCTGCTCTCAGCTCTGGGGGCGAGGTCTGCATGGCCCCTTCCCCACACTCCTCCTCTTCTGGAGGTGCACCCACACCTTCTCTGACTCTGGAGTTTTCTTTCAGCTCTAGAACAGACAATTCTCCCCACTGGCCTGTATAACCTTTAAGGATAAGCACCATCTTTTTTATTCACCGTCTGACCCTTGTGCCTAGCAGAGTGCTGGCAGATAGTATGTGCTCAATAAATATTTATTGTATGGTTCAATGAATGAGCCACCTGAACCTCCAGCTGAACCTCCCTATCTCCCACCCTCTTTGTCCTACGGAGTCTTTGGATGGCCAGCTCCATCTGTGGTCTCCAAGGTTCCACCCTGACCACACTCCCCCTTTATCATCAGGCGCTGCCGTGCAGACCTCCATGAGAGAATGAGGAATTCTGCTCCCCGCCCAACTCTGGGCCTGGTGCTGGTGCCCGCTTTTTAAGGTGCTTGTCCATCTCAGTTCAGGGACAGTTCATGGGCAGTTCATGGGCTCGCTTTGCCATGCGGCCCCTCCCTCACTTCTTGCCTGCGGGTGGACACCGGAGCCAGTGAGTCTCCCAGTGCAAAAACTCAGCCTCCTGCTGTTTTCCCTATTGAAATGGATGTAAATTAGGAGGAAATGGATGTCTAGGCTTTTGGTCCAACGCAGATAAAAAGCTTATCCAACCATTGTTTAATAAGAGTCAGGCCTGGAGGAAAAGGCCTTGATTTCTAATCACCACACCACCAGCCTTAGATCACACTTGCTAAAGAGTCGTTTGGAGATATACAGTTGGCTCCCCAGGGACTAGAAATCAGAAGCCTCCGTTTGATATTTTTTATTGTGTTAATGAGCAGATGGATGGAGCTGCCGGCTAATAGATAATTCACAGGGAATAGACTCACTTACCCGTATGTAACAGAGATGCATTCCAAGACGGGACAATGTGCAGTCACCCACCTAACAGCAGAATAAACCTTGGCTTCCCCTCCTCCCTCCTCTTTACTTTTGTTCACTTTTCCACCACCATCATCCATCCCTATGGTGGCCTGGAGAAGGGCTCAAGGGCATTGTTCAGTACTAGCCACGTGGCATTGAGCAGGTCCTTTTCCCCCTCAGGGTCCTCACCTATTAAATAAGGATGATAGTAATAGTAGCCACTTCCTACGGCTGTTATAATGATGATGTTAGGTAATCCATGTCGAAGGATTTATTTAGCCATAGTGGGCTTCGATATTTATTGGCTGGACATGCTTACCTATTTCCTATTTGTTGGCATTGAGCTGCTTGGCATGGGGGAAGTAGAAGCAGCTCAGACCCAGTTCCAGTTCCAGTGCCTCAGATACGGTGGAAAGAGTCCATCTTGATTCCAACTGACTTGCTTTTGGTTCCTGGCAAGGCATCACTAAGCCTCAGGGTCCTCAAGTGTCAAATGTGACTGGGGACCCCTCCTTACAGGGTGACCAGGGACTTGATGGGTTCACGGCAAGCTTTCAGGGGTACCCAGGGCATAACCTACTTGATACAATTATCACCTGCCTCACTTTGGGGTCACAGAAGCAGACCCATATTTACATTCTTAGCCCAGGCACCTTCATTTCTCAGGTCTTCTCCAGATGCCTCTCTCAAGGATTCTATCAGGGAGAGAGGGGGAAACCCTGAGACACTTTCTCCCACCATGACTCAGTGCTCAATAGTTTTCTACTCCTATCCCTCCTCCTTTCTCTCCCCTCTGGCCCAGCATCCATAAAACTGCCAGGAGCTTCTGTTTGGGGCTTCCTCACCAGTGACACGACTCCAGATCCACCTGGTCTGCCGGCATGCCCTTTAATAGGGAAAATGGAACTGAACCAGGCCATGTGGGGAGAGTCAGTACTTTCTCTGGTTTGAGCTTCTTGCTTATGCTATCAGAGTGAGTGACTAAATGCCTCACTGGTACTTGCATTTTGGCTTCTCGCTGCTTTAATCAACTGCTCTGACACTTGGCAACTCAGCTCTCTCTCCAACGCTGCCGAACTCTGGACAATAAATAGTGCTTCGGTGAACAGCTACATCCATACGTCAATTCTTATTCACACATCCATACAGGTATAATGCAGGCACTAAATGTCCAGAAATGAAACCCAATTATTTAAAGAGACTGTTCCATTAGTTTAGCAATTGAGTATTTACTTAGTCTCTCTCTTCTTTCACACTTGCCCCTTCTCCTGAAGTGGTGCCTGAGTGTATAGGGGAGGAAGCTTACATGGAATTATAGCAGTGGAGTGGGGTGTGGGGATTGCGTAGTAAAGAATTTAGCCTTGCTCAAAGTGAGGTCCGGTCTTTGCCCTCAGCCCATGAGAGGTCATCTCTAAGCCCTTGGGAAGTCCTGCCTGATAAGAGTGTCTTTGTCTACCTGGGGGCATTGGACCATGCCAGACAGTCTAACAGTATGATCTATGGTGGGAGCTTTGGGTCACTTGGTATCATCTGGACCTCCAAAGTGGCTAGAGATTGCGGTCACCCATGTGGGTGGTCAACTGCCAATAACGATTCTAGACTCTAAGGCTTGGGTGAGCTTCCCCAGTCAGCCACGCTGCATGCATATTGTCACACGCTGGTGCCAGGAGAATAAGGCCAGCCACAAACCCACAGGGAGAGATCAACTGGAAGCTGTGCACTTGGAACTTTCCTGGACTCTGCCCAATGCACTTCTTCCCTTGGCTGATTTTAAATGATATCCTTTCCCTTTAATGAACTGTTAACCATGAGTACAACAGTTTTCCGTGAGTTTTGTGAGTCCTTCTAGTGAATTATGGAACTCATGGGTGGCCTTGGGGGACTCTGTGTCATAAGTTGCAGTTGATATCAGAAATAAGGTTGGTCTTGTGGATCGTATCACCTCTGACTTCACAAGGGGTCTCCTGTTCTCTAGCTCCTTTGATCAACAGACACACTGCTGGCTGCAGACACTGAGCATGAGGCCAATGACACATCTGTTCTCTGTGGCCTGGCTGAGCCTGGAGGGTTCCCACCTCCTGCTTCCAGAGGACTCATCCTCAGCTCTGCTCTTGTTGGTTCTGCAAATCCTGTATTGATCAGGCTCCCTCATTACACACTTCAGAATCCACTCTGGTTAGTATAAGCAGAAAGGGGGGTTCAGTCTTCAAGGCTTTGAAGACTATCAGTAGTTGCAACCACCCCCATGTACAGTAAGTCCTCACTTAACATTGTTGCTAGGTTCCGCAACCTTAAGCAAAATGACATATAGTGAAACTAATTTTACCATTGATATAAACAAGAGTTAAGTTCCTATGGCATCTCATCAATGTTATAATGAAATGATGTTGATGACATTACTCAACGATCTGCTGTATATGTCTTTGGTCCAGACCTTCTTCCGAGATCTCAACCTGTCCCCTAACTACAGGTTTGACATCCCCCTCAGGCTGACTGGATTTGGGGGCTGCACTTGGTTCATGTGATGAAAGAATCTGGAAAGGCATCCTGAGGATTTCTCCCTTGAGTCTGGTGCATAAATCCCCCTCCCTCATCACATCTACCTGGGCCTTCTCCCAGCCCGCAGAGAAATGCAAGTAGTAAAACACAGAATACAGCTGCTTTATGGGCCAGAAAAAAACTGATTTCCCACCTGGGGCCACTAAAAATCCAGAGCTATATTCTCTACTTCCCTCGGAGAAGAATTTCCTCCTCTACAAGTGATCTCATGAGGCCCTTAATGCAGACCTATCAGCAGAAACCCCAAAGCAGGTAGGCAGACTGTTTTTAAAAAGATGCTCTCATCACTACCACCCCATCTGGGGTGCAGCGGTAGACCTAGAGCCATCACCTGCACACACCCCCATCCCAATCAAGCACAACTTGCTTTCAGCCCCGCCCCTCCACCCCAGTAAGCTTTCTGGACCTGAAGTTCGATCAACAGTGGTTCTCTAAGAACTGCCCCTACAGTTCATTTTAAGAGTCAGCAGAGATCCAGTCAAGATGGAGGGATAAGTAAATGCTGTACTTGCCTCTTCCCATGACTGCATTAAAATTACAACAAAACTATAGAACAATCAACTTGGAGGACCGTCTGAAGACTACTTGAACATAACTCTTATAACTAAGGTTATAAAGAAGAAGCCACATCAACTTTCTCCTATGCCCATGAGAGGTCTTCTCTAAGCCCTTGGGAGATGGTTGGCATCCCGCAAAGGTGCAGTAATGTGTTCCGAGCGGAAGAAAACTAGAAACACACATCAATGAACAAAAACGCTGCCTTCTACCCTTATTTGTATCCACTGATTGCCATGCCTCCAAGGTCCTGGATGATGAGAGAAGTCCCTGGGGGACAGAGATGACCAGCTTGCCCTCTTCACCCTCTGCCTTTGGCTGTCGTCCGCCTCCTTTGCCTTTTATGCCCACCTGGAATCCCAATCCCATAACTTGGTGGAGGAGCCCCCCTGGTAGCCATGAGGGTCATAGCCACCAGCTGGAGAAAGGCCCAGGAGCTTGGGTCGGCTGCTCTGCTTCTGCATGCTTACCTTTTATTGTCTTTATGAGAAGAAAGAACCCTGTGCTGGTTTATGTCACTATTTTTTTTTTATTTTAACGTTAAAATAACTATAATTCCACAGGAAGTTGCAGTAATAGTACAGAGAGGTCTTATGTATCCTTGCCCCAGCTTCCCCCAGCAGTAACATCTTACAGAGATGTAGTACGATGTCAAAACAGCAGATGGACGTTAGTACAGACCAAAAGCCTTATTCGGATTTTGTCAGTTTTACATGCAAGCACCTGTGTGTGTGTGTGTTTGTGGGTGTATGTGTGTGTGTGTGTGTAAGTTCTGTGCCATTTTACAACGTAGATTCATGCGACTGCCACCAAAATCAGGACGCACCGCTGTTCATTGTCTCAAAGATCCCTCCCCTAACAAAGTCACTGTTCTAAGAATGCTTGAACTCCCTGATTCATCCGATATGTGGTTACTTCACCATTAAATTCTCTATGTGGGTTTGTCCTGAAAGTATATTTTCTAATTGTTGGTTTAAGCATTTTATGTAAGTCCATTAGATTAAGCTGTGAGAAAACTTGAAAACACCCTTAGTAACTAAAAAAAAGGAGGCCACATCAAGAGTGATCAAAAAACATTAAACAAATTTAGTAAAAGTCAAAAAGAAAGTCAATATAAATATAAAACGGCTAAAATGAAAAACGGACAGAATCTAAGTGTTGACAAGAATGTAGAGTAACTGGAACAGTTGCCCACTGCTGTTGGGAGTGTAAACTGGTACAATCATTGGAAGCATCTACGAATGTTGAACATGCTTGTCCCCATGACCCAGCAACTCCACCCCTCAGGATATACACCCAACTGAAATGCCTGCACCTGTTCAACAAAAGGCATATGCTGGTATGTTCACAAAGCACTCTTCATAATAACCCCTAACTGAAAATAACCTGGATGTCCATCAGGAGTGAGTAGATAAATTGTGTAATATTCACACCATGGAATAGTAAACAGTACTGAGCACAAATGAACTTCAACTGCATGCAGTAACAGATGGATCCTGCAAACAGATGCTGAGTCAAAGAAACCTGACACAAAATGATACATTCTCTTTGATTCTATTGGTACAAAGTTCAAAAACATGCAAAAAGAATTCATGGAAGTCAAAGTCAGGAGATTGCTCACTCTGCCAGGGAGGAGGAGTAACCGGAAAAGAGTCTCTTGGGGTTGTGATACTGTTCTGCTTCTTGATCCCTGAGCTGGTTATATGGGTGCGTTTACTTGGTGAACATCCATGTACACTTATTATACACACACTTTTCTGCACTTATATTACACTTCAAAGAAGTATACATAAGACAAGTCTGTATTTATGAGACTTCTTATAGTGTTTTTGATTACTTAGGCTATCAATAAAGTTCCATTTTTCCAGATTTATTCATCTAATATACCTGCATATGTTACCTTGTATAGGCTGTTTATCATGGCATTGTTGGTAATAGCAAAACAATAGCAAAACACAACAAAATGAAAACTGAAAGCAACCTGTATGACCTTTGGTAGGGACGGGTAGATAAATTTTTTATGGAGCATCTATGGAAAGGAATACTATGCAGCCATTAAGAAGACTGACCATATGTGCAAACATGAAAAGGTATCAAAAGGATTAATAAGTGGAAAGAGTAAGCTAGGTAGGTATAGTGTTATCTCCTTTTATTTAAAGTGATATAGACACATATATACATGCTTATATATATGTATACAGCAAATTTCTAGGAGGTTATATAAGATACAGGAAAGAAGGTACTTTTGGAGAGTAGAAATGAAGGGTTCATAAAGTTGAAAAGTTTTTGTTTTCCTTCTTATGCTCGTTTGGATTTTCATACACAAACAGATATTCCTTTTTAAAAAATTTTTTAATGTAAATCAAAGTAATGTAGGCGCATGCTTAAAAATCAAATGTACAACGGGCTTATAATAAGAAGCCATGGTCTCAGAGGGAACAACTTTTTATTCCTTAAATGTTCCTATTTTTACTTCTTTTGACGGATATCTCCAAATATAATGTTCCTATTTTTCTTTTTTAATTTACCAACTTTAAACAAAATTCTTGTCTTTGTGAGGATTAAGCTCATTAACCTGTTCCATCTGCCTTCCTTCTCTCGAAATAGTTATATAACAATATTTTTGGTTTCTCTATTGGTAAGTTTATAATTTTACATATTAAATTCACATATTTTTCTATTGGTAAGTTTATAATTTTACATATTATATTCACATATTTATTTTTTTCCTCCATCAACAATATATATATTACTCGCTGTGTGATCTTGGCCCTTTCTGAGCCAAGTTTTCCTCATCTGAAAAGCAAACTAGATAGCTATCCACAGAACCATTTATCTTTCTTTCTGGGCACACAGCTACATTTCCCAGACTCCCTTGCAGTTAGGTGTGGCCATCCAGCTGAGTCTGGGCAAATGGAATGTGGGCAGAAGTGACATGTACTACTCTAGCCATA